CTCCCCCCCCCCCGCGATGCAACGTTAACGCAACATTCGCGAAGCCGTGTTTTATACCTTGCATGGACAGCTGCTTCCTCTGCAAATTGTTGTTCGAGAACGGCAGGAATCTGTTTCCTTGCTGCAGCGAGCTCATCTTCGCCTCGGATTCAGCTCATTTACGTGGACATTTGTTGTACGCCTCGTCTCTGAAAACACAAAAGGGCAGGGGATACTCCGAGAGTCCACGGGCGATAGACGGGGGAAGGGGGGGGGGGCGAGAAGAAGAAACGCACGCAGGAGGAAAACAAGGGGGTTTCGCACGCGCGCAGGGGTATCGCTGACGGCCCGCGTCGCGAGTCTCGCTCCGACGTCGAGCTCTGCCACTCAGGCGGAGGAGGACTCCCCGCCGCGGACGACGGTGCGTCGCGAACGGATAAACAATGGGACTCGCATCGTCGTCGGGGTGTATCTCTGCCAGGGGCAGAGGTGGCTGAGCTCGCTCGCGCGCGCGCGCGCGCGCGCGCGGCGAATCCCCGCGCTCGGTTCCTCACGGAAATTGAAAATTTCCGCGGATGCGGCCGTCTGATCGTCGACGCGGGTGGCCCGGGTGTCCTCGGCCACCGTCGCCGTCGTGCCCGGTCTACTCACTCGGTGCGAAACTGCGCGCGGGTAGCCCGAGAGTCGTGTCGTGTCCCCCTTGATTATTTTCGATAAATTAGTACACTCCACTTGTCCGTACAGGAGAAATAAAAAGAGCCTGAGGTTGCCGCATTCCTCGCCAGATCGCGCCGCCGTCGCTAGAGTTCCTCTCGAGGAAGAGGTTTTATTGACACCGCCATTTTCAGAGTCACTGATCCATCCATAATACGGACGTTTTTCAAAAAACATTCAAGTAAGTTTTTCACGATTCAACGTTAAAGCACTTGCCGAGGTTCGGCTCGCTCTATCTTTTTCCAATCTCAGAATTAGAAAGAGGTAAACATTAAGTTGAACCGAGTTTAAAGTTATGTCATTTTATGTTTGTGGAATCGGGCTTAAGTTACATAGTTTAATATTTGCGCAGTTTATTAATAAAAAAAAGGGATTTGATTTAACGATTTATAATATTATACAATTATTACTACAACGATAAATCTGTAAAATAAATAAAATAGTAAAATGAAAATTTTTCCAATCAGCCTGAAACGTATGGCGACATATATTTCAATTACTTTGAATTTGGTGTAACTTGAGCTTGAATTTTGTGTGGCTTGAACTGTCAAATCGATTGTCACATGGTTACAACTTCAAAACAACGGCCGCATGAATTTTTCAGCAGAAAAATTCAGCAGCTTTGCAACTCATGTGATTCTTCAATGTGATTGGTTCTTGCCTTTTAATTCCCCAATGGATCTAAATGTGCAGTAAACGAATCGTATTAAAAAAATCTTACAACGTATGTACAGTTGCAAAGCTGCTTTTCTGCTGCCTCGGTCCCTCCGGACAAACGTCCAGCTGATCCAGCAAATATCCCGCTCGTTTTTTAGTAAGTATAATAATCGCGTTTCCATAACGCTACATTAAAATCCGTCTGAATGACGGGCCTTTATGACGCTCGAAAAGGCAACCGGCACTACTAATTTACGTGCCTCGACGAATAAAAGTGCGATCATTGAATTATATGTATAGTGAGATGAAACGTGGATCGTTTCTGATTGTTTCTAATGCAAGACACCTGTCAGCCTGATTTTTGTTATTTTATTCGACTGTCGTTCACGACGTAGGTACGTTTATTGTTTTTCTGGTGCAAGTCGTATCATCGCACAAACAATCGTGCATCACGGTGTCGTCGCGATAGTGTCGTTATCGCCTCTTAGCAATAAAAAAAAAAATTGACATACATTATGTACACCAGATTTCCTCGGCTGCTGTGCCGAGCGTTCGTATCGTCGAATTGTTCTCGCGGAGATCGACGACACGTACCGGGGAGCTGCCGACGACTTTTAGAAATCACGTTTAACCCTCCGACTGTAAACAATCGTGCGTATCAAATTACATTTGTGTGGTAGAAATTAGAGATTCAGAAGAAATCACAATATTGTATGCCTATACGAATTCTTTGGAATTTTTTTCGTTTTATTACTTATTTATTTATTGCTTCGTTAATATGTACACAATAATTTGCTGAAATTCATTAGCTGTATAGAACGTTTATTATTCTTAATGTTGTATTTAAGATATTAAATAGAAAATTAAGTAACACAAGAGTAAAAAAATTAGTATTTTTTGATGTAACGAAATCAATGACCTTGATAATTTCAGGTTATCTAAAAAGTGCTAATTTTAATTTTAATCGATCTTGATGATTTCAGGTTATCTAAAAAAATAGCACTTTTTAGATAACCTGAAATTATCAAGATCGATTTTATTTCATTATCTCAAGAAATAATTATTTTTCTACTTGTCACTTCTGTCAACATGATATATATAT